ATCCTCCTGCCTCAACCTCCTGAATGCTGAGATTACAGGCGTACACCACCATGCCCAGCCTAGGATATTTCAGTATTGCTGCAGAAAAAAACTGAGAAATAAATGATTAAGTTCAGCTGTTAGCATCCATAACTCTGGATATTACAAGTAAATCCTTTCCAAATTAATATTAGGGACAACTTAGCAAGAATATTAAATTCGTCAGAACTGATTTAACCCACTTTGACCTGAGCTTGAAAATAGTACAGTTTATCTTGAGCTTGTATGTAAAGTGTTAAGATATTTGTCACCTTGGATTGCCAAAGAATAAACTGTTGTCTCAGTGATGTAGGAGGAGATTTTTAAGAACGCCCTAAAGAAACATATACTAAATTTAAGGACACTGAAATTGTCTTTATTCATTATCTTTTTTAAAATTTTTTATTCAGTGTCTTAATAGTTTTCTTTAAAAAATTGAAATTTGCTCTTGCTTATTCAGTGTCCTAAAGTAACTTCATAGTGACTTAACTGTTTTTACAAAATGAGTTATGAGCTATTACTTATTTTTTGTTTGTTTAGAGATGGATCTTTACATGTGATGTGCACAGACCAAGAGACTGGAAAATGTGAAGTAATTACTATTGAGGTTGCATCTTAGTGTTTCAGATGAACCAGGAATTTCAGAACTCGAGCATCAGCGTATTTGGTGTTATGCATAAGTGGTGTCGATACTGAGATACCTTTTCTTTCTTTCTTTTTTTTTTTTTTTTTTGGTACCGGGGATCGAACTCAGGTCCTTGCAGTTGCAAGGCAGGCAGCGGAACCACTGAGCTAAATCCCCGGCCCCTGAGATACCTTTTCAGTGAACTATGTAAGTCATGTTTCAATTAAACTACAATATATTGGTAAGTGTTGCAGTGGTTTGGTTTTGTTTTTCATGTAAAATTCAACTGTTAGTGGAAAATAAGATTTTTGGTCATGAAGCAGTTAAGAATTGAGTTGACTGAAGGAAAGTATACGTGGTGTTTTTAAAATTTTTATACTTCTGTAGCTTCCAATTTTAATAGTCCTCAGACTGGCAGACTGAGGAGGTCCCAAGTTCCAGCCCAGCCTAGGCAGCTTGGTGTCTGCAAGACCTTGTCTCAGAATTCCTAAGAAGCTGTAAAGGGCTGGGAGTAGGGCAGTACGCAGGCCCTGGCTTCAGTGCTCAGTACAGTACATGCACACCTGAACATATGTACATTTCACCAACAAAAGCTTATACCAAGTTACAGTTTTGCCTAGGTACGTGAGTGACACTGTCCGAATATAACCTGGAAGAAATACCTAAATACAATGTGAACACCTTGGGCAGGAGCTTCCTTAGAGCCACCGGAGGGTGGCTTATAAACAGCCAGAAGTTACTCCTTGCTTTCAAGTCTGGAGGTCTGACATGAGGGTGTTGGCAGGGTTGTGGGGCTCCCTTCTGAGCAGCAAACTGGATCATGGAAGACACAGGGCACAGTGTCACTCTCAGAAGGTGCTGACCCCATTCTCGAGGACTCCATTCTGACAGCCTGATTACATCAGAGCCCTTGCTTCCCAATGCCTACTACATTGGAGCTTGGTTGGATTTCAGGGTATGAATGGGGTGGGGACAAATGTTCAGTCCGGTCTATAACGGGAAGCCACAAAATAAACATTTCATTACAAACTGGTAGCTTTTATATGTGTAGGGCCTTCAAATTGAGCTACATCTCCGGCCCTTTTATTTTGAGACAGTGTCTCACTGAGTCACTAAACTGCCTGGGCTAAGCTCAAACTTGCAGTCTTCCTACCTCAGCCTCCCAGAGTTTTGGGATTATAGGTGTGTGCCACTGTACTGGACAAAAATTGTTAAAGATTAAAAAACAATTATTGGAGCAGAAAACAAGTTCGTGGGGAAATGTAAGGATATCTAACATGAAATCAGTAACCACTGGAACATTTATACACAATAAATGCTTTTCAATTCACTTTCTCATTTTAAAGTTTTGATCTTAATCAGGCATAGTGATACACACTTGTAGCCTTGGTTACTGGGAAGGCTGAGGCAGCTGGATTGCAAGTTCAAGGCCCGCCTGGGCAATTTAACAAGATTCAAAAAATAAAAAAGAACTGAGAGTGTAGCTCAGTAGTAGGGAGCTTGTCTAGCATGCTGGAGGCCTGGGTTCAATCCCCAGTACCATAAAAGAAAGGTTTTTTCCCACTACATTTCCACAAATGGTTGTAATATGCAGAGAGAAACACCACATATATTATTTGTTCACATGAAACTTTTGAAGAAGTTAAATTACCCAATGTCTCACAGTAAATACATGGTCAATGTTGAACAAATAATTGTACCTAATTTTAAACTGTTCTTGACTGCTCAGTCTTCTAAGCATGTGACATGCTTTATTTCATTTAAATTCCCAGTTTTAAAAAAATCTAGTGTTTGTTCTGTACAATTCAGAAACCATTCATGCAATTGGAGCAGGAGACATTCTGTGGTTTCCAGAAACCAAGTTTTTAGTGGTTTGTTTTTTTTGGTTTTCTTTTTGGTACTGGGGATCGAACTCAGGTCCTTGCACTTGTGCAGCAGGCGGCGAAACCACTGAGCTAAATCCCTGGCCCATTTCAGTGGTTTTATAAAAGAAAAACTGGGACGTGTGCATAACTTTGCCTGCTTCCCTTGGCACTGCTATATATCTATCAATGGCTGTTGGTTTCCTTCTCCCAGGATTTACACCCAGGATTCATCAAGACATTCAAGTGTTTTAGTCTCGGGACCCTTTACACTTAAAAATTATTTAGGCCAGGCATCATGGTGCTTGCCCATAGGTCGAGATCCTTGGGAGGCTGTGGCAGGAGGATTGGTTGAACCCGAGTTCTGGGACAGCCATAGCAACATGGCAAGTTGTTACGGTGTGTGTCCTCCGAAGCCTCATGCAGTCACAGGTGGCTTCTCAGAGGTGCCTGAATCCAGAGTGTGTGACTGATTCATGGTGCAGTGCTCGGCCCGCGGGCACTAGGGTTAAGGGTGTGAGCGCTGCCTGCCGTAAGTGTCTGGGTAAGATAAAAGGGGCAGAAAGGCTTCCCCTGTTGCTTTTGCCACCCTGTGGGACCCATGAGCTGTTTCTTCTCTGATGCCGCTCTACCGTGTACCACTCTGCCTTGGAGCCCGCTGATTATGGACTGAAATCTTATCTACAGACTGTGAGCTAAATGAACCGTTTCCCCCCCTTTAACTCTGGGTGTCGGGTATTTTGTCTCAGCAATGAGAGAAAAGTGAGACAGAAGTCTTGGTGTCCCCTCCCCACCCCAGCATTGAGGATGGAACCTAGGGCCTTCACACTGAGCTTCATCCACAGCCCTTTACTTTTTATTTGGGGACAGGGTCTTGCTCAGTTACCCAGGCTGGGCCAGACTTAACAATTCCCCTGCCTCACCGGCCAGGGAGCTGGGATTACAGTGTGGACCACACCTGGCTCCACTTTGTGTTTTCAGGTCACTGGAGTATACTGGGAGTGGAGCAGTAGTAGGCTGTCAGGACTCCAGTTAAGGAATGGTGGCCAGCTCTGCAGCGACCACATCAGGGTGGAGGGAGGTGTGTGCTCTGGACACTCGCGGACAGGACTTGCTAGTGGAGTTGCACTTGGGAGTTCTCACGATGGTGTGAAAGCAGTGTGCTTTCAGAAAAAACTATACTCTGTGTTTCGAATTTTGGTCTTTTCCGGGACTAGGGATTTATGTATAATACTTAAAATTCTGGGCGGCAGCAGGAAGCCGTGCCCAGTTAGCCACACGATGAGGAGGGTAAAGCACCAGGGCTCTGCAGTGGGCTGCAGTATACTGTGCTGCTACTGAGTTTGGCAATTGAGGTGTAGTAAATTCCTTTTTAAAATTTTAGTGACAGGGTCTCACTTTACACAGCCCAGGTGGGTCTTGGATTCTCGGTAGTCCTGCCAGCCTCCTGAGTGCTTTCTTTTTGTGGTGCTAGGGACTGAACCCAGTGCTTCAAATGTGCTAAGCAAGCATCCTACCACGACCATACTCCCAGCCCCTAAATGGCTTTTTATTTAGCATCTTTTCAATTTATGGTGGATCTGTTGGGATGGATCCCACGTAAATCGAAGAGCATCCTGCATGTGACAGGCTGGAGAAACCACACATGCTCCTTACAGAAGACGGCTAAATATATAAAATTGGTAAGTAAATCCTCCACGTTTTGTATTTCATTGTCTTCCGCTACATATTTTTGTACAAAGTTAAAACTATTTTAGGATTTTTTGCTTCACATATTAAAACACTTCCTTCCCCATGATACCAAAGACTTCGTCGGCCCCTCTTCAGATGGCTAGCCAGCATTTCATAACGGAGTCGAGTAATTAATCAGGGTCTTTCACGGTCCACTGCTCCGGGATTTCAAGCTACACATCATGCTTAATTTTCACATGAATCTTTTAAAAGTCCTTGGTGTTGAGACGCCCGTCCGCAGGTTTTCGCGGTCTCTCTTCTAAGTTTTCTGCTTCGGACTAGTACAGTCGCTGCGAAGCGCTGTGAGGGGCAGATGGACCGCGGGGTGCCGCCAGAGGAGCGGGCCCCGCAGCCCCGCCTCCCAAGCACAGCAGAGCCAGGAGTGGCCAGACCCCGCGGCTCGGGCGGCTCAGCCCGCGCAGTCCCAACGGCACGGAGCCGGCCTTCCCAGAGCAGCCGCAGTGCCACGGCCGGGTGCTCTCTCCCCGGCGCCCACCGCCCGGACCATGCTCCACGCCAGCTCATCCCTTTCCGCGAGTGGGCCACTCAACCTCTCCTCTGCTCCCCGCGCGGCACTGCACCGCAGGGACCTGGACACGTGGCCCTGGCGTCCGAGGACCCCGCTCAGCCCACGCCGGTCCTTCCCGGCGGCTGCAGAAACCCGGCCGGCGAGGGGCGGGGCGCGCCAGGCCACGCCCACTACGGCCCGCCCCTCCCCGGCAGGCGCAGGCGCAGACGCAGGCGCACTGGGCGTCGCGCTGGGGTCGGCCCTCGTGACGTCAGCGTGCGTCGCGGGCTCCAGTCCGCAGCCGGGCCACAGTCGCGCGCTGGCCGAGCGGAGCGGGGCGGGGCGTCGGGCCAGCTGAGCGGCCTCGTCAGACCGCGCCAGTTTGAATGAAACCTCCCCAAGATGGCGGTGGCCGGGGCCCAGGCCGGAGGAGGTGAGGCTGGAGTGCGACCCCCGCCCTGACCCCAGGCCTGCGCCGGGGCCCGGGTCGCCCCGCGGCGACGTGGCGGGACGTTGCCCGCCGCCGCCTTCGCCGCCCCGTACAGGCTGCCCCGACCGTGCGCGGCGGGCGCCCGGCCCCGCCCCCGGTTCCCGCTCCGCACGCCCCACGCCCGCGTGGGCTCCGGCTTCGTGGCCGTCCCCCGCTCGGCCCGCGTCCCCGCCTGGAGTGCCGCCGGCCCTTCCCGGGAGTGGGGCCGCGCGGGGCTGCAGGCCTCCGGGGGCGGGCGGGGGAGTGGGCGCCAGGGACCTGGCCTCCTTCCGCAGCTCTCCGCCGCCGCGAACTTGCAGTCAGCCCATGGACGCCGGGCGCGCGCGTGTGGCGTGGGTCCCGCGCCCCGTTCGGAAGCCGGGCTGAGCGGGCGTCCCGGAAGCCAAGGTGTCTTCGCCTCCCTCCTGTCCGTGCGCGCTGTGACCTCGTGATCCTGAACCCCGCTTCCTTGGAAGCGGCGGGGCGACCCCCCGAAGTGGTGTTAACGGCAGTGAGGCTGTGCTTACTCTGGCCAGCGAAATCGTTTTCATTATAGGCCGTCGACTTTTGTTAACCAAGTGTTTGCAATTTTTTTTTGATCTTTAGGTATAAATTTTTAGAAACATCAAACACATTTGGGTGATTGGCGTAAAAAGATTCACTTTACACAAAACATCTTTGAGATTTTTAGATAGATTTACGAGATCTGTTCTCTCCCCCAAACTACCACCCCAAAGCGGTGCAAAAATTCTTGGGGAAAATAACTTCTTGAGTCGCTTGCAGCGAGTAGAGTAGTGGAAATTGTGCTTGATGCCTTCTAACAATGAGGCAGGCCCCTGTGTGATCTAGGGAGTGTGAGGAAGGCATCCACTAGTGAAGTTACAGCAGCTCCATTCCCCGTTCCTTGGAAATTACCTCAAAATGCAAGAGGTTATTGCCATACATTGGAGAGCTACCAAGTAGAGCTCGAGTTACTGATAAATTTTGTTTGCTAACCATAGTTTTCCCCAACACTCAATTTTTTTAGTGAACCTGACCCCCAGAAAAATTGAGACCTCACTGGACTCACATGGTTAGGTCGCCCACCAAAGGGATAGGGGGAAAGACTCTCGATCTGGTACTTTCCATGACACTAGCCATAAAACCAACTTTACACTTCTCTAAACATGAGTTTGTGTAATTGCATTTTAAATTCATTGTGGTAGCATACAGTTTACAGAAATTTGAGGGTAAAATTTGCAATCCAGTTAGCCTCTGCCTTCTATAAGATTGAGTTTGCTGATACTCCAATGTGGTATATGAATAACTTGAATACTCTGCGACTCTTAGCCTTAAAAACCATACAGGAAATGAGTAGTACAAAAATAATTATAATCTTCGTTTTATTTATTTATTTATTTATTTTCTGGTAATGGGGATCGAACTCGGGTCCTTGCGCTCGCGTAGCAGGTGGCGAAACCACTGAGCTAAATCCCTGGCCCTTTATAATCTTCGTTTCAAAATAATTATTCTTGGATATATTCATCTTGATAATATATTACACCACGGACAAAATAATGAGTTAAAATTTCATGCAACATTGCGAAGTGGGAAAAGTAGGGTATAGGAGTTTGTGATTATAGAACTGTATTTTAGTTAGATTATAGTTCTCACTTCATTTAAAAGAATGAAAAAGTTACCTTTTGCAAATTATGATTGTTTTAAAATATATCTAGTATATCCTAGAGATCTGTTGTATTAAAACAGCAGTTATGTTCTATGTGGGATATAGAGTAATGGAAAAATCAAGACCATTACCACTGCTGATCTGTGCATCTATGTGTAATCTTCAGAAGGGTTATAGACATGAAATATTTTGCTTAGCTGGCTTAGTAGAAATTAACTGATGTCAGTTAAACATGGTAGGGTAGAAATCTAGAGAAAATTCAAGAAAATCAATTGACCAAAATAGTTACTTAATGCTTAATTTTTCTTAAACATACAGTTGGTCTCTTGCCATATGGACTTTTAGACGATAAAATTGCCAGTGGAGGGGTTGGGGATATAGAGGTTTAAGTTTCTTTTTTGTTTTAATTGAATAGCTATTTCATTAGTAAAGAATTCTATTTTCTTATTGTAGCTTGGTGTGTGCCTTGCCTAGTTTCACTTGATACTCTTCAGGAAATATGTAGAAAAGAAAAGCTCACATGTAAATCGATTGGAATCACCAAAAGGAATCTAAACAATTATGAGGTGGAATACTTGTGTGACTACAAGGTAGTAAAGGTAAGGCAAATATCTAGCCCCTTAAAAGAGACTTACTCACACTTTAGTATTTCATATTTCTGTAACATAAAAAGAACCTTAACAATAAGCAAAGATCTTCTTAATGTTTAAAATTCAAAACCATGGTAAATTTATATGTCCTACCATCTACATTGCCATATAACATTTTGAAGCATAAAGCATTCTTGGATTAGAATATTTTAAAGTGGTTTTATCATTCTACATCTTGATTATTTCCGTATGGATTACCGGGGCAAATGTTTGAGCTCAGATTGGCTTCCTCTGTCATTCATTTTGTTCCTGAATCCTGTTTCCCTACTGTCACCTGAAATGGACCTAGAGTTTGAACCATGCTAGTGTTACTGAATCTCAAGAAATGTTATCTGTATTTCCTGCCATCATGTCAAACCCCAGATATTATGAGTGTCTGTGGTATAATTGAACAGCCTGTGTTTCAGAGTCATTTCTGGTCTTTGTTTAGTGCCTTATCACTAAACTCATTTAAATTCTCCGGGCTTCTCTTTATTACTCTTAAAAATGAATTGTCCTGAGAAACTGTTTTGATCTAAACCTTATATTTTTAGCCGGGCATGGTGGTGCACGCCTGTAATCCTAGCACTTGGGAGGCTGAGGCAGGAGGATCACCAAGAGTTCGAGGCCAGCCTGGGCTACATAGTTCAAAGCCAGCCTGAACTACATAGCGAGACCCTGTCTCAAAAAAAGTTTATATTTTTGAGTAATTCATTTATCTTTATCCTTCCTCTGAAGAATTGTATTTTGGTCATTAATCATTCTTTCAGATAAATGAGTCAGGACTCCTGCTTTACTTTTTTGCCATACCAGAGATTGAACTCAGGACCTTGCACTTGACAGGCAGGCATGGCATCACTGAGCCATATCCCCAGCCAGGACTCCTGCTTTAATTCTTTGCTTTCCATCTTCATCTTTGTTGAATCAGTCCCTAAATCCAGTTCTTTGAAATGTCCGTCTTCCTTCCTTTGGTATCATTACCTTCCCTTCTCAGTGGGATCTTATGATCAAGCATTTTCACCTACACTGTGCATTCTTCAACAAGTGTGATAGACCGGTCATCTACCATCTCAGTTTACAAACTCTGGACTGATAAACCTGGCTGAGAATATCATATAATTGTGCATGTTGGCTCCATTAAAACATACTTGCGTTCTCATATTGCTCAATTTTACTTGACAAGATGTTTTATCTTTTGATTTTTCTCATTCATGTCAGCAGTTTTTCTAATTTTTGTTACTATCATGGACTTCTTTCTTTAGCCCTTATTACTCACAGTTGAAGACCTCTTAAATATCAATGAAAAGATCCTTCAAGTATGAACTCTTTACCAACAGTCTATCTGCACCTTTACTACCAATTATCTGTATTTTTATTCTTCCTTTTTTTCAATGATGTCATCATTTTTGTTTTTTTTCTGTCCGTCCTCGTAGAACTTTGCCTAATCTGTGGTGTCTTTTTTATATCAAGCTCTGTGTTTACTGATTTGTCTTAAGTCAGTAAACACATTCATAGCTCTGCAACCTTCAGAAATCTTCCTTTGACCTCGCCTCCACTCATGTATTTCTTGTACTGTATTTTCCTTCAGTGTCACTTGATTTTATAACAGCTTTACTGAGACATAATTCACATGCTGTTGTATTACTCACTTGCTTAAAGTGTACAACTCAAATCTTTATGTGTACTTAGGGTCAGTTTTAGAATATTATTCATTATCCTAGAAAATACCAAACCCCTTCACAGTCACTTCCCAGATCTCCTCAGATGGCCTTCCACACTGAGCCCTGGACAACCACTAAATCTGCTTTCTGCACCTATTAATTTGCCTTTTTAGACCTTTTATATAAAAACCATACAGTATGTGGGCCTGTCAGATCAGCTTTTCTCAGTTACCATGTTTTTAAGGCTTGTATGTGTTGTAGCATGTGTCAGTACATCATTTTTTAAATTGGCAAAAAATAGTTGATTGTATGGATATATTACATACCGTTCATCACTTGAAGGACATTTGGGTGGTTTCCATTTGGGGGCTATTATAAATAATCCTGCTATAAAATTTCATATGTAAACTTCTGTATGGGCATAAGTTTTCATTTCTCCTGCTTCATTTGATACGGTATTTCTATGTTTAACTTTTCCAGAGCTCTTTGAGGTTTTACTTTTCCTCCAGTGGTATGTGAGAGTTTGTTTCTCCACGTCCTGGCCTGTGTTATTGTTATCTGAATTTTTTATTATAGCTATCCTACTGAAGTGCATCTCATTGTAGCTTTGATTTGCATTTCTCTAGTTAATGACTCTGAGCATCTTTTCATCATGTTCTTACTGGCCATTTGTATATCTTTGGAAAACTATTTAGATCCTTTTTAAAAATTGAGTAGTCTTTTTATTGAATTACAAAATTTTTCTTCCATCTTGGGGGTTGTCAATTCACTTTCCATTAATTTTTAATACATTTTCCATTTTTTTCTGATTTGTGCCCTTATAAGTGATCTCCCCCCTATTGTAGATTGAACACAGAGGCTTTTGTTTTTCAGCCCTTTTTAAAATTTTTCTACTTTGAGATGGAGTCTCACTAAGTCACTAAGCTGCCCAAGCTGGGCTTCAACTTTTGAATCTGCAGCCTCACCCTCCCAGAGTGCTGGGATTGGAGGTATCAGCTAGAACTGACTTTCTAATTGCCAAGTTTGAAGATCTCAAATTTTACTATACTACTTTGCCACATTTAACACTGTTGGCCACCTTTTCTCCTCTGAAGTTCTTCCCTGTGGAGGTAATGCCTAGGTTAAAATTCTGACTTGCTGTGTGACTTCTAGCAAGCTGCTGAACCTGTTGTTCAGTTTCCTCATCTGTGAAATGATTGTTATAGAATGCATCTCATAGCACAGTGATGGCAAACCTGTTAGAGCTTTCAGTGATAACAAACAGCCCACTGCAGCATGCATGCCATAGGTTTGCCAGCACTGTCATAGGGCATAACTAACATTAAACAGGTTAATATCAAGTACTTACAACAGAGACTGACCCTGATAATTATCCTGTATCTCAGGTTACTGTCATCATCAATATCTCTATTCCCCGCTTCTTTTTCAGAGTTTTTTTCAATGTGCTTTAGGGATCTCCTCCCGCTCTGTCTCTTAGCCCAGACTCCCCTGTCGGTAATGTCCAAGGTGCCCTCTGCTCTCCTCTGATAATTGCTCTCTAGGTGGCCTCTTTCCCAGTGGTTTCTACTTAAACCTGTGTGGCTCGTGACTTACAAAGCTTCTCTGAGGCCCTGACCTCTTTCTGGGCTTCATTTCAAGCTGGATTCCCCATAGGTACCAAGTTCAGCATTCAAAGCAGCACCCATTCTTCCCCTTCAAACCTGCATCCTGTGCTAATAATATCCCTTTCTTCATTAGCATAATCACAGTACTTCCAAGTTCCCAGCCTTAATTTCTACTTTAATTCATTCTTACTCTGTACATCTAATAGATGGTTGGGTTGTGTTATCTGTATCACACTTTTGTCTTTAAGGTTGGTTTACAGTAAAGGTGCTACCAGGATTCATTCTTGTACAGAATCAGTGTTCCAGTTCAGTTTTCAATAGATTGTTGTTGTTTAGTGTCTCCTTAGTCTTGCTAAGGTTTCTTCTTCTTTTTTGGTCTCTTGAGACAGAGCCTTGCTATATAGTTCAGGCTGGCTTTGAACTCACTATGTAGTCCAGGCTGGCCTCCAACTTGGAGCAATCCTCCTGCCTCAACCTCCTAAGTGCTGGGATTACAGATGTGCACCACCACACCCAGCTTTTTAAACTTTGTTGATTTGAAATAAGTAACTGCTCACGTATGTCCTCAATACCCTATTTCTTCTTCTACCTAGCACAAATATTAAATCTATAAGCCATTATTACTTGTTCGTTTCATTTTGTTTTTTAAGACAGGGTCTCACTATGTAGTCCAGACTGGCCTCAAACTCACAGCAATCTCCTGCCTCAGCCTTTCGAGTGCTAGGATTACAGGCGTGCAGCATGCCCAGCCAAGCCAGTTTTATTTCAACACATTTCCTTCTTTTTCTTTCGTATATTCAGGATAGGTGAAAGAGCTTACAGCCCTGTCCTTTTTCCTATGTGGTCTTTTCGGGTTAGTTCATAAAATACAGTCTTAGTACCGTATTCCACAGTGCCATTATAGTTGTTTCTTAAACCCAGCTCTGATTGCACTGGGGCCTTGCTAGACCTTTTAATGGTTCTCTGTTGTCTGCCTGTCGGAGACAAATACTTAGGTTCCTTTCATTTAGGCAAGATTTACTGAGCACCTCCCATGAAGCCAGGCACTGTTCTGTTGGAAACATAGCTTAAAAACAAACAGTTTATATTCTGTTCCTTCAACATCTCATGCAACTTTCTACCTTAGTTAGTAGTTAACGAGCTGAGCTGTCTTGATTCATTTCCCCAATCTCTGCTATAACTACTAGACCTGACCTTCCTACCTTCGTGCTTAGGAAGCACTCCTGTTTCTTTTCCTCAAAAACACATTTAACAGATGTTTGAGTTTCTTCTGTGTGTCAGATATTTCATTAGTCACTGGGAATATAAAGAGTAATAAGAATCAGTTTCTCATTTTGAAGAACTCACAGCCTAGTGAGAATGACTGACAAATAATCATTGCAATAAGTGTTGTGGCAAACATCGTTACAAGATCTGTAAGAGGCTGGGCATGGTGGTAATTCCAGCATTCTAGGGGGGCTGAGGCAGGAGACATGAAAGTTCAAGCCAGCCTGGGTGATGTAGTGAGACCTCATGTCAAAATAAGAACTTTTAAAAAGGGTGGGGGCTGTAGGTCATTGTGAAGGCCTTGTGTTCAGTCCCCATTACAAAACAAAAAAGGTCTGTAGGAGATATATGTATGCATATAGGGTAGAGGGTAGTCACAGAAAACATCCCCGAGGAAGCCATGTAGAGCCCAAAAGGACAGGTGTTACAGTTCAGAGTG